TTTATTTATTTTTGATAGCAAGAGAGAGATGAGTGGGAGAGAGGCAGAGAGAGAGGGAGACACAGAATCCAAAGCAGGCTCCAGGCTCTGAGCTGCCAGCACACAGCCCGATGCAGGGCTCAAACTCACAGACTGCGAGATCATGACCTGAGCAGAAGTCAGCCGCTCAACCAACTGAGCCACCCAGGTGCCCCAATAATTGTAGTGTTTTAAAGATGGATTATATGACTCATATTGTTGGGACAATTGGTTCTTTACATCCTAATTGCATATCACACAACAAAATAAGTTCCAGGTGAATTAAAAAACTAAAAGTATAAAAAATAAATACTATGATAATGCCATAACAAAATATATGTAAATATTTACATAATGTTGAGTGGGAAAAACATGTCTAAAAATGATACCAGAAGAAGAAATTCAAAAGGAGAAAAATAAAACTTTAGATTTTATGAGAAACTTGATTTTCTAAAAATTTTAATTGAAGACAAAATGAAAAGATTGGAAAAATAACTACATCATATACAAAAAGGGTTAATATTTTTAGAATATAAAAACCTCTTACAAATGAATAAAAATTAACTTCCCATTAGAATAACGTGCATTACTTTGTGCTGGACAGTTATAAATATTTTATATATATCATTCACTTGAGCCTTGCACAACCCTACGACATACAGGAAACTTTTACAGATAAGAAAACACACATTGAGAGATTAAGTAAACACCCAAGGTTACAGAACTGATAAGTAGTGAAGGTAGAGCCAAGATTCAAACTGTGTCACCAACAGTCAGACTCCAAAATCTATGCTACTTCTCAAAGGATATGAACAAGAAATTTATTAAGAAAGAAAAAAAGGCGGGGGGGGGGGAAGGAAGGAGAAAAGGATGGGAGGAAGGAGGGAAGGAAGAAGGGAAGGAAGTTTGGAAGGAGGAAGGAAGGAGGAAAAGAAAGAGAAAAAAGGAAGGAAAGGAAAAGAAAGGAAGGGAAGGGAAGAGAAGAAAGAAAAAACAGAAATGCAAATGAACAAAAAACAAATGAAAAAATATTCCATTTCACTACTAATCAAAGAAATATAAATTATACTAAAAATAAACTGCCATTTTCTGTCATATTGGCAATGGTTGAAAATGATAACAATACTATGCATAAGCATGAATGTGACAAAATAAGTATTCTCAGACACTGCTTGTAAGAGTAAACTGGTTCATATATTCTGGAGGTTATTCTGGCAATATGGATTAAATGCTTTTAAAAAGTGATTACCCCCAATTCACATTCATTTCTAAGAATTTGAACTAAAGAAATCATCAGATATGTGTGCAAAGATTAAGCTACAAAGGAGGTTACTGCAGTGTTCTTAATAATAGTAGAAAAATCACAAACCTTAACTAGAGATGATCAACTAAATTTTGAAATGCCCACAAATAGAATAGTATTCAACCATTAAAAATGATGATGTAAAAGAATAGTGTACCATGGGAAACTGTAAGTGATATGATATACTGTTAAATAAAAAAGCAGATCATAAAGTAATTGTTACCATATGATTCTACTTTTGTCTTAAATGGGGATATAGATATAAACAGAAAAAGAAAAAGACATACAATTTTAATACTGGATATATATACAACTTGATATTTATAATGATTATATCTAGACACTAGGAATGCAGTTTTTCTTCTTTTTCTTTATTTTTGTATGTGCTTCCTAAATTTCATATATGTGATATCTGTTATTTTTGAAGTAAATAATAAAGTTTATTTAAAAAAAAAGATGTAGGAGAAGAATATTTAATGACATGAGAAAAATGACCACGAAACATTAACTTTTAAAAAGCATCTTCCAGGGGCGCCTGGGTGGCGCAGTCGGTTGCCAGTCCGAATTTCAGCCAGTCACTTATCCTCATAGGTTCAGGAGTTCGAGCCCAAGATCAGGTTCTGGTGTGATGGCCTCAGTAGCGAGCCGTTCACGAGCCTGTGTTCCCTCTGCCCCCCCGTCTCATGCTCTGTCTCTTGTCCCAAAAATAAATAAATGTTGAAAAAAAAAATTTAAAAAAAAAATAAATAAAATTAAAAAAAAAAATAAAAAGCATCTTCCAAAACAGCATGTGCAATATGATACCATTTAAATATATACATATGTGTGTGTCTAAGTAAATAAATTTCAAGGATATAATCAGCTTAAGCATTTTGAGATATCTCTAGATGTCATTATGGAATTTTCTTTGTATATTTTCCAAATTTTCTCCAATAACCACTGTTAGGTTTTTTAATCAGAAAAAAAAAAAAAAGCAGTCAGGAAGACTATATTTTACCCTTTTCCCCATTCTAATTGTTTAATGGGCCTATAATTTCTGGAAAAGCGAAAAATAACATACTGCCTTCTTATTGTCAAAACAGACACAAAAAGATATGACAGTTTTTCTACTAAAAGCAAATCTCATAAATATATTAGGATATTTTATGCAATCAGAAATTTTACTTCAAATTATAAAATCTCGTAAATGTACTATATTGAGCTGCAAATGAGCCCTACAAAGCAATCAGGCAAATCTCCTTGATATGTGTCCACCTACTGATAGATAGGTAGACATAGTAAAATAAGATAATTGCAAATGGTTAAGCAGAATGTTAAAAACAAATATGCAGACACTGGTCATCAATAAGGCAAGACAAAAAAAAAAAAAAAAGCATAAGGGTCAATTATTTGACAGTGTGGTATTAACAAACGTCCTTGCCCAGATTCCTGAATACTTGGATTTTTGACTGTGTGATCTTGAGCAACTCAATTAGTTTCACCAAGGTTTAGACTCCTCAGCTTTAAACTTCTAGTTTAAAAAAAAAAAAATTGAGTCTTTGGCTTGAAAATTACAGTAAAAAAAAAAAAAAGGTTGATACAAATGTAAAAAATTTTCATATGACTAAGCTAATATAAACCCTGGAGACCCTCCAAAATTAGCATCTACCTAATTAAAGATAGATGAAGATGGTAATAACAAGAGACAAAAAGATAATTTTTTTTAAAGAAAGAAAGGAAGAAGATGAAGAGAAAAGAACTGACATCCTTAATAATGAAGAATTTCCTTCATAGGGAATCAAGGCTCAGGAAAACTTAGTAGCTTTTTTCTTATTCAGAAGGCCAGAAAAACTGGGGACCAAACTTCTGAATTTTGGCTGAGCCTCAAGTCTAACTAATCAACCAGTAGCACTTCCCCACATGGAAAAGCTGATATAGCATCAACAAATTCTTTATCAAAATCAACACTTTGTAACATTGAGAAAATTAAAGTGTTGTAATCTATAAATGGGCTGGCCTGCTCTGTTAACACTTTATCCAAATTGGACACTGTGTTTAAAAATATATTCAAAAAAAGTCTCTCTTTACCTCTGCTACAATTTTTTAAGTCATATATGTTTTCTTCCCTCTCTTAGATAGTTTGCTTCTTCTTATAATTTTGCATATGAGATTTATACACATTCTTCATGGAAATATGCATAATATGGTCAGTTTCATTTTTCCCTCTAAGAGAGAAAAGATGCTTTAAATGTTTTATTTTTGAGTACAAAGATCTCCAATCCTTTACACTAACTTTCACTGACTTTCCATTCCCTTCAAATTTCACCTTCTCTCATCTCCTCCTCCAATCCAAATACACACATACATACAAACACACACAGAGGCACACACAGGCACAATGCCAGACTTTTCAAAATAAATATTGAGAAATAAAATCACCTGAGGATAACAAAGTTGTAAGCTGTTTTTTAAAACAAAACAGAACAAAATTTTTTAAGGTAATAAGAAAAGCATTAGGCATTCTAATCAAAGTCTGGTATTTTTTTCTCTAAGCCAGTGTTAATTATCCAAAATAATAAATGACCATTACAATAAGCTAAGTCTCACAGTTAATTATTATAAAAGAAAAGCAAAAGTCTTTGCCTATCAAAATGTTATTTTTTACTTATTGCAGGTTTTCTAGATATTTCAGGGCTGCTTCCCTCCAAACCATCATTAAGCCATCCAATAAACACCTTTCTCAAACACAGTCTTCAGCTCTTAAATAACAACATACTTGGCACCTAAACACATAAAGAACAATCTACATGTTTAATCAAATACCTCAGCTTCAGAAGTTAGTGTCTCCCCTCTGTCCTTTGGTGGCCACAGTATCTTCATTGGAAGCCTCAATTACTGTCATTATTTCTAATTTGAAATCATCCTCTACCTCCACACCCTTCCACGAAGAAAACATGGCTTTTATCTTTCTCATGCACATGCACACCGTAGCAGGGGTGGGTGGGTTGGGTAGAAGAGTAAATCGCCATTTGCAACTTTTTTTTTTAATAAAATAGCAAATAAACAAGGAGTCCTCTCGTTATTGGATACTAACGCACATTCAACCCTCAAGTCGGCAGCTGAACTGCAATGTTACCCTATTTGCCCAATGTATCATATTTTCAAAGCAGAGAAAACTTCACAACTTGGAGTAAAATTTTCTGAAGGTAAAGAGATGCTATATTGGATACCTCACATGAAGTTTGTATCCATTCTAAATAAAATACAGCAACTTTAGATGTTTTGATGCTTAGGTCCAAAAAATGGATCTAAAATGAAGTTACAGAGTTCATCAGAAGGTCATTATCAAGTTCAGGGAAAGTCTTAAGGAAGGAGAAAGGGAATGATAGAAAACATTATTAGGTTATTTGTAAAGTGAAAAATAAAACATTTTGATAGGCAAAGACTTAAGATTATTAGCAGTTTTTACAGAACTCTAAGATTTGGAAAATGGTTAAAAATTTAAATTAAAGTAACAATAGCTAACACTTGTAAAGTACTTATGCAATAAGCATGATTCTAATTGCTTGACATATATTAACCTATTTAGTCCTAAAATAAACAACCCAAATATGAGTATTATTATGGATTATTATCACTATCCC